CATCTCTTCCAGGAGGAAGAAGACACAAAACCGAAGCCTACCAAGAGGAAACGGAAAGGGTCCTCTGCAGTGGGGTCTGACAGTGACTGAGTCCCCGTGTTCCTCCATCCCACCCCCAGTTGGACTGCCCTCCCCTCCGTGGTGAATCAGAGGTTAATAAGGGCTGGGGAGATAGTGGGGAGACACCCTCTCCCTCTGCCCAAGGCTCGCCTGGTGGGAAGGATGAGCTGCTTCCTTTGGCTCAGCCTGAGAAGCTCCCATGCAGCCCCAGCCCCTGCTCCCTCCTGTCCAGGCGCCTCCAGCCCCGTCACACTGCTGCTCCCACCGACTTGGGTCCCCCTGAAGCCAGAGGCTGTGTGAAATCTGGGCTGGTGCAGGTCCTCAGCCCCTGCCCCTCCCCAGCCTCCCAAAGAGAAGAGAAATGGCAGATGGGGCTTGCTGGTCAGAGAGGCCAGGATGGGAGTGAAGACAGTGTATGGATGCCCCTTCCACATGTTCCCCGTCTGGCCTTGATTTGCTCCTAACAGGCATTTTATAGTTGCTCTCCATCCTCCCGTGTGAAATGGGCATTTCATCAGTGATGTGGTCCAGCTGCCTGCCTGTTCCTCAACATGGGGCAGATGCCATAAGAGTTCAGGCAGGGACTGAGGGGAGAGGGAGGCCAGAGCCCTTGGGACTCCCAGAGAGAGACTTCCACAGAACTGTCAAATGGTCCCATTTCCTCCGTTCTGTCTTTTTGGGGTTTTTTGTTTGTTTGTTTGTTTGTTTTTTTGGCAGAGATAATCGCGTTTTAAAAGTTTTTAAATGACAATAAAACAAGCCAGAACCTCTTTTGTGCTGGAGTTGCTGGCCCAGGTGCTCTTACCCTATGCACCTAACTGGTTGCCCCCACTCCCCTGGTGGCCTCAGAACTTCCCCTTTTCCCTTCCTGAACACCCCCTTGTCTGGAGCAGGAGGGACTTTTTGCTGCCCCCCTCCTGCCCAAACTTCCTGTTGCCACTGGGGCTGTGGGCCAGGCACTGACCTGTCCAGGCACCATCTCCCGTGAAGTTGAACCCTACTTCTCTGTCAAGAAACTAGAGGCTCCCGAAAGTGAGTATTAGTAGATCTGTGTGCTTATCAACTATTGGAGGACTGCTTGGGGGTGAAGGATGCCCCCAACTCGGATTCTGATGGACAGAAGTAGGCCTGGTGGGGAGAGTTCAGATACCAGCAAGAAGGAACCAACCCTCTTTGTTCCACAGTCTGTCCCCTGTGTCCCAGCAGAAAAGAATCCCCTAGGCTGCCCAGGAGGCTGGGTGGCCGACAGAAGAGAGAGGAGTGAGGTCTTGGCGGAGGACAGAGGGCTCCTGCAGAATCCAGTGTCCCCTTCTTCAAAGCTGTTATTCCTTCCTTTAAAAGTCTTAGTCGCAGGAGGCCTCTTCCTCTCCCCTTCCCGTTCTCTCTGCCCCAATTAAAACCAGGATGGAAAGCATTCGCTGGCTGGCCCCAATTATTGTGCCCTTGCCCGGAAGGAGGGGCCTCCGCAGTCGCCCCTCCAGAACTCTGGCTGGCTGGGCCCCCACCCATCCCCTGGGGCTGCTGCTGGCGCTGGGGGAGGGCACGGGTCTGGCAATCGGGCCGGGTCTTGCAGCGCCAAGTGGGCAAGGGGCCGAGTTCTCCGGCCAGTTTTGGGGGAGAGCAATGGCATCCTTAGGCCGGGACGCCACAGTTCAGATGCCAGAAGCGCCCTTGGGGAGAAAACCTGAACCGGGACCTGGGAGGGTTTGGGCCGCCGGCTGTCTGGGAGGGAGCGCGCACAGGGCGGAGCGCGGCTGTGGGGAGGGCGGAGAGCGCGGGGCCGCCCCCCACGCACTCCCGGCCTCGGCTCCCAGCCCGTGGAGAACCGGGAGGGGGGAGGGGGGAGCTGGGTGGGAAGGGGCGTGTGCCGGCGCACGCGCGCTCCCAAGAGGGAGAGGTCTCCGAGCAAAAGCGAGCGGCCCGTTTTCGGAAGGGAGTCTCTGGGCCGCGCCAGGGACGAGGGCACCATGGCCGCCCTCCTGCTGCTGCCCCTGTTGCTGCTGCCACTCCTGCTGCTGCGGAAGCTGCACCTCTGGCCCCGGCTGCGCTGGCTCGCGGCCGACTTGGCCTTCGCGGTGCGCGCCCTACGCTGCAAACGGGCTCTTCGAGCGCGCGCCCTGGCCGCGGCCGCCGCCGACCCGAGGGGCCCCGAGGGGGGCTGCAGCCTGGCCTGGCGCCTCGCGCAACTGGCCGGGCAGCGCCCCACACACATCTTCCTCATCCACGGCGCGCGACGCTTCAGCTACGCGGAGGCCGAGCGCGAGAGCAACCGGGCTGCGCGCGCCTTCCTGCGCGCCCGGGGCTGGGACGCGGAGCTCGGCGGCGGCGCAGAGGACGAGCGGGCCGCGGGAGTTGCCGGCGCCGCGGCCCCTCTGGCACCCGGGGCCACCGTGGCGCTGCTCCTCCCCGCCTGCCCAGAGTTCCTGTGGCTCTGGTTCGGGCTGGCCAAGGCCGGCCTGCGCACAGCCTTTGTGCCGACCGCCCTGCGCCGGGGTCCCCTCCTGCACTGCCTCCGCAGCTGCGGCGCGCGCGCGCTCGTGCTGGCGCCAGGTAAGGCCGGAGCGCGAGGCCAGCGGGGGCGGGACCGGCCTCGGAAAGGGGCGCGTCGGTGGGGGGCGGGGAGGGGGAAGGAAGCCGAGCCTCCTCGAGGGGGTTCGGAAAGGGTGCTCGGGGACTTGAGTCTTTGGGTTTGCGAAGGGATGGAGCTGGGTCTTTGGTTCCCAGAACGGTGATGGGATGTTCCTACTCTTCTCGCCCAAGAGCAGTGAAGCGGTGGGGAGGGGCGGGGGGGGGTTGCAAATAGGCTGTGGGGTGGAGAATTCTGGGTCCCCAAGCTATGCCTTCCCACCTCATCCAGAGTTCTTGGAGTCCCTGGAGCCTGACCTGCCAGCCCTGAGAGCCATGGGGCTCCGTCTCTGGGCTGCAGGCCCTGAAACCCATTCTGCTGGAATCAGCGATTTGCTGGCTGAGGCCTCCGCTGAAGTGGATGAGCCAGTGCCGGGGTATCTATCTGCCCCCCAGAGCATAATGGACACGTGCCTGTACATCTTCACTTCTGGCACCACGGGTGAGCACTGGCCTTACCTCCCAGAAACTAGGCAGAGGAAGGCAGGGGGCTGGGGACAGGAACTATGGCCTCAGTTTCCAGGCCACTCCTCCAAACCCTCCCTGCCCCTCCATGCTGGTCCCGAGGATCATACTAATTTCTCCACCTCCCTGCACTTCCCACATTTCCAGGACAGCTTGGCCTCCCTTCTTTTCAGCTTCAGCCTTGCCTCTGCCTCTTTCTTTGGGAAACCAGGGGCAGAGGGAGGCAGGGCCTGAAGCTCAGACCCTTCCCCGGGTCTCCCCCCACCACCCACAGGCCTCCCCAAGGCTGCTCGGATCAGTCATCTGAAGATTCTGCAGTGCCAGGCCTTCTACCAGCTGTGCGGAGCCCACCAGGAGGATGTGATCTACCTTGCCCTCCCACTCTACCACATGTCCGGCTCCCTGTTGGGCATTGTGGGCTGCTTGGGCATTGGTCAGTCTCCCCAACTCCCACCCCAGTCCAACCCCCACCTTTAGTCCTCCAGCAGATGTTTTTTCTAGCAAACATTTATTAAGTACCTAAGTGGTGTGCACACCTCGGGATGCTTCCTGAGTCCTTCAGGGTAGAGAATCCAGAGGAGGGAGGAGGCAGGGCCTCCTCTCCAAGAGCTCCTGGTACAGCGGAGTGGCATCACCTGCCCAACCTACAGACTGGCTAGGGAGGCCGTATCGTTCACAGAACTCCAGACTCCAAGGTCAGGGTGGGGAAGGGCTGTGGATGTCAGCCCAGGAAGAAGCAGATGGAGAAGGTTGGGACTTGGGGGCAGGGTACAGAGCACGGACTATGTGGGGACAGGAAGTAGAGAAAGGGCACTGACCTCCCTGAGGCACAGGTGGGAAAGGAAGAAGGCCAAGCTGGGCCTGCTGTTGAATGTCCCAGCAGGGCCTTCCCAGGGACTACACACTGCACTGAGGACTAGCGTCTGGGAAGGAGGTGGTCAGGGCGCCCCCATAGCCCTTAACCTCACCGTCCTTCCTCCCCCCTCCTCCACTTCTGGCAGGGGCCACAGTGGTGCTGAAGTCCAAGTTCTCGGCTGGCCAGTTCTGGGAGGACTGCCAGCAGCACAGGGTGACAGTGTTCCAGTACATCGGGGAACTGTGCCGATACCTTGTCAACCAGCCCCCGGTGCGTGGGCACAGGTCCAGGCAGGGAGGTGGGCACTTCACGGGAGACGCTGAGGCAGTGGTCTGGGAGTTGGAAGAGAACGGCAGGGCGGGGTGCAGGGCCTGGGATGACAGGATATCTGAGTGAGGTCACCGCGGAAGGGGCTCCAGGGCAGTGGGAAACAGGACTTCACTTCTGGGAGCTGGCGTCTCGGTGGTGAACCTTCTGCCCATCTCTCCTCATCTCAGAGCAAGGCAGAACGTGGACATAAGGTCCGGCTGGCGGTGGGCAGTGGGCTGCGCCCAGACACCTGGGAGCGTTTTGTGCGGCGCTTTGGGCCCCTGCAGGTGCTGGAGACCTACGGACTAACGGAGGGCAACATTGCCACTTTCAACTACACGGGACAGCTGGGTGCTGTGGGACGTGCTTCCTGGCTTTACAAGGTAAGGGAAGGATGGGGAAGAAGGGGGGGCCGGCAGGGAGGGGGCTCGTGCAACTGAAGTGACCCAGTGCCCGGGTCTCCCTTCCCCCAGCATGTCTTCCCCTTCTCTTTGATTCGCTGTGATGTCACCACAGGGGAGCCAATTCGGGACACTCAGGGGCACTGTGTGGCCACATGTCCAGGTTCGTGCTCAGGTGGGGTGGGGGGGGTGGTGCAGCTGGCAGAGGAGGATTGGGATTAGGCAGTGGGGTGAGGGGCAGGAGGTTCTGGTGAGGTGGGCAGTCACCCCTGACCCCAGTGACTCTGCCAGGTGAGCCAGGGCTGCTGGTGGCCCCAGTGAGCCAGCAGTCCCCATTCCTGGGCTACGCTGGGGGGCCAGAGCTGGGCCGGGGAAAGCTGCTAAAGGATGTCTTCCGGCCTGGGGATGTTTTCTTCAACACTGGGGACCTGCTGGTCTGCGATGACCAGGGTTTTCTCCGCTTCCACGATCGTACTGGAGACACCTTCAGGTATCTGTCCATGACTTTGAGTCCTTTCCCAGACGTCCAGTCTCTGTGACCCAAAGCCCCTAAACCTATCTCCCTAACTTGCACCCAAACACACCCAAACCCAGCCCCTCATCTAACCTCTCCTGTCAGACAGACCTCTGGAACACTTCTTCTCTGTGAGCATCTGGCACCCTGTGTCTTCCCCCACCCACCTTCTAAGGCCCAGGATCTCTGCCCTCTTGCAGGTGGAAAGGGGAGAACGTGGCCACGACTGAGGTGGCGGAAGCCTTGGAGTCCCTGGATTTTCTTCAGGAGGTGAACGTCTACGGAGTCACCGTGCCAGGTGCCAAGACACGGGAGGTGGGAGGCAGCTGGCCCACTGCCCTGACCTGGTATTACTTGGGCCCAGGGAGCATGAAGCTGGAGGGTGGTCCACAGCTGACCTCTCCCCACTGACCACCAGGGCACGAAGGCAGAGCTGGAATGGCGGCCCTGGTTCTACGTCCCCCCCACTCATTGGACCTTGTGCAGCTCTACACCCATGTTTCTGAGAACTTGCCACCATATGCCTGGCCTCGATTCCTAAGGCTCCAGGTAATCAGCTGCTCCTGCTCCACCCCTCCCC